CCCCAAAACCCCAAAACCCCAAAACCCCATAGTTCTTATTGGCAATTATTGTAAGGAAATTTATTTTAGGAAATTTTATTGAAAATTACACGATATATAGCATTATATTTTATGGTTCATTTTAGTGCCGTTGGCTTACATTCAAATCATTCTTCATCATCCCAGTCATTTCCGTGTCTTCTGGTTGATCTCATTTCTGATCTATCCTTATAGTCTTGAACAAGTGGAGTGTAGTGACCGTGAATATTCTGAAGTACTTCAAGGTAGGCAGCTTACTTCAATTCTCTCTCAGCATCAGCGAGTGGGTCTTAAGGAGCCTCAACCTTTGGCTCTTGAACCTTGTTTCCGTAGATTTTTTGCATGGTCTCGAGGTAAGCTTACTCCTTGAGTTGATGTTTCTGTTGGCCAAGTGGATCGTATGCACCTCCGTAGATAAGGTATTATGGTGATTCAACTTGTGGGCATGGAGCAACTAAGCACTCGATTTAATGATGAATTCTGGGAACTTTCGACCAATCAATTGTTGATTTTTGAGATTCAACAAGTGGATAGTGTCCGTAGATGTTTTACATACCAGAAAGATAAGTAGCTTGTTTCATTTCTCTCTCGACATCAGATAAGGGGTTTCCTGATTAGACACTTGTACCATAGATTTTTTGGAGAGCCTCAAGATATGCTTATTCCTTTAATTGTTCTTCAACTGATGACAATGGATTTGCTGGCTTTGGTTTAGAGTGACGAGCTTGAACATTGGCGTAATGACCGTAGATGTTCTACATATCTCCGGGGTAAGCTGAAATTTTCATTTTAGTTCTCTCTGAATCAAGAAGTGGGTTACCTTTCTCAACGTTTGGAGATTAGACATTGTAATGTCCGTGGATGTTTTAAAGAGCTGCAAGATAAGCAGCTTGCTTCAATTCTCTCTCAGCATCAGCTAATGGATCAACTTGCTCAACCTTGGGCTCTTGGACCTTAGTTCCATAGATTTTTTGCATTGTCTCAAGGTAGGCTTGCTCCTTGAGTTGATGTGCAGGTTAATATAATGGATCATAATATCCCCATTGAGGTGATTATACATTAGCATAATGTCCATAAATGTTTTACATTCCTGAGAGATAAGTTGCTTACTTCATTTCTCTTTCTACGTCGGATAGTGGATCTTGTTGGACCTTTGGATCTTGAACATTAGTTCCATAGATTTTTTGCAGGGTCTAAAGGTATGCTTGCTCTTTGAGTTGATGCTCAGGTTAATATAAAGGATCGTAGTATCCCCATTGTGGTGATTAGACTGAGGGACCATAGATATTTTAGTATGCCTTAAGATAGGCTTGTTCCCTAAGTTGATATTCAGTAAGTCCTAATGGGTTTGGACCAACTGGAACAGGGCCGTCTTGAATGTTTTGTAGCATTCTGAGGTATGCAGCTTGTTTAGACTCTCTCATAACATCAGCGAGTGGATCAACATCATTATCAGCTTGAACTTATGGGGATTATACAGAGGTTCCATATATCTTTTGCAATGTTTGTAGATAAGCTTGCTCCTTAAGTTGATGTTGAGTGTCATAGAGTGGATCTACATATCCACCATAGTAGATGACTTGTGGGTTTGGGCTTTCAACTGAGAGTTCAGCAGCAGCAAGGTTTTCTTAGGCGGAAACGTGTCCGAGGAGAGCAGCTCCAGCGATTGTAATATATTTCTTCATTTTTATGATATGTTTTTAGATTATTAATTGAATTAAGTTAATTGGCTTATTTATAGGGCTGAAGAAGTTAATATATCCTAAATTAAAATATTATTGATGATATTCTTGATTTATATATATCTTATATTTAAATATATATCTTAGCCTTCGGGGTTTTGGGGTTTTGGGGTTTTGGGGTTTTGGATAAA